GGCTTTAACACCACAGCCAGTGGATTTTTCCAAGGTGCCTTGCCCTTTGAGACACAGAAATATGGAGATAAAGCAAAATCCAGTAATTGCTTTTGCATTCACTCTTTCAGATCCTAGACTGAGTACTAAAGTTGATACAGAACACTAAAGCAGAGAGAAACGGAGAGCTGTAGAGCAGGAGTAAACAGTGCTGGTAGGACATCAAGCATTGATCACAGCATCACATTGACCTTGAGAGGAGAAGAAGTCTTTTGCTGCCACAGAAACAGATACATTAACTGACAGCACAAATACCTCCAGAGGAAGAGTCCCCACACACATACCTTGTTGGGATCAGGTCTCAGCTTCTCGTTATTGGCCATGGCTGCTTTCTCAGCCGCCTTTTTTTGCCGCTGGGGGCCCTGGCCGAAGAAGATGTAGTTGACAAAGGCGTACTCCAGCAGGGCCAGGAAGACAAACACAAAGCAGCCCATCAGGTACATGTCAATAGCCTTCACATAGGGGATCTTAGGGAGTGTCTCTCGCAAGTGGGTGTTGATGGTGGTCATGGTCAGCACCGTAGTGATCCCTGGAGTGGAGTCACATGTTTAGAAAGGAAGTGGAGTCTAGGATACTTCAAGACATTTTTTTAGTATGATACTCCAAAACAGCCCACTCTGCTCTCCCTGCTCCACTACGCTCTACTACAATCTGCTACCCTCTGCCATGCTCTGCCCAGCTCTTCATTTGTCAGATATTTTATGAAATTACAACAAATGAGAATGCAACTTACTGACTGACTGATTAGAGAGGCCTCAAAACCTCCAGACGCTCATAACTCTGCACTGCTGCCAGTGCTATACAATGAGTCTGAGTCACAGGAGGTTTCAACAGCCCCTCCCCACATTAAGACAAGTTCTGGAGCAGATTTCTACAACAAAAATATTTGAAAAAGTTGCATATTGTAGCTTTAACTAAAGGTTAGATTTCTAGCCACATTAAGAGACATGGCTCAAGGGCTGGAAATGCTTCTCTGTCTGCTGCTTTTTCCAGACTTAAACATCTCAACAAATATTTGATGGATTAAGATGCAATTTTGTACCGAGGTGTTAATTATTATTTGTGAATTATCAAATTCATACAAATATATATACTTTTGAAAAGTTAAGATGACTTTCTAGTCTATCCACCACACAACAGGTCCTCAGGTTGCTTTGTAGTCACAATGGTACACAGTCAGTTGAAAACCCCTGCGTTATATGTATTTATTCTGAGCTAACAGACCTAAGAGAATGGGAACCTATATGGATAAAAAGATCACTCGAAACCTTCTGAGACTGAAACTCTGTACGTGTTTTGAACATTCTCATTCCCACAAACCCTTAGAAACACAAGAAGTAGGTAATATAAAAAGCACAACATTGCTACTGTAAACATCTGCTATTAGTCACAGCACAGTTTAACTGACATATATGCATTGTATTTGACACATTAGCCGTCTGCATGCACAATCTGCATTTGGTTAGATTCACCCATTTTATAAATACCCAGGCAGCACCACTGTAGCATGGAGCCTCATCTCTCACTGGCTGCATTTGCTTGCTACACATTCTCAGGATGCTGAGAACGGCCACATCTTTAAATCACCTTACCCTCTGAAAGTACTGTCTACTGTCTCCAACCTGCAGGTGTCCCACTTCAGAAAACAAATGGTGTGCGACAAAAACGACACACATAGGGCTCAGAGCCATTTCCTCTGCTGCTCTGCCCTGTCATACCCAAGTTTAACACTAAAGGGAGCTTTGTGGCATCTCATTTTAGCAATAGTTTGACACTGATGCAAAAACATTACCTTTAATGCATAAGGTGCATTTAAGCAACCTTTCATTAACATGCCATTTTTAGCCTTCATCTGGCTCTGATAAGCTACAATCTCTGGCCTGTAAGAGGCTCCAGTAGACAGACAGGCAGAGAGAAAGACAGAATGCTTCAAGGTCGAGCTGCAGTGCTTCTCGCTCTGCATGAGTCATGCATACAGTCATCTCTGAACAACAGACATTTAGCCAGGCATCTTATCACACACTGCTATCACTCACATGCTGAGGGAGAAAAGTAAATGCTGGGAAAATGAATCAAAACAGACAAGAGGCTCATGACAGACATAAGTGTGTATAGTTTCAAATGTGAAAGGCAGCAGTCTTTTGTAAAGTCAGATATCAATAAGCATTGGGTTATTTCCCAGGGTCACTGCTCAGCAGCAGCAAGATGATCCTACCCAGGGCCACTCTTGCAGCTGAGGCATCGTAGTTGATCCAGAAGGAGACCCAGGAGAGGATGGTAATCAGGATGGAAGGCATGTATGTCTGCAGAATGAAGTAGCCAATGTTCCTCTTCAGTTTGAAGCTGAGAGACAGGCGGGGGTAGGAACCTGAAGGAAGCACAGGCAGAGAGGAAGTGGAATAGAAATAGATTTTCCTCAGTGATGTCCATTAAAAGCTACATTTTCTTTGACACTGTAGAGCCTATCCTATCTATCCCTGGTACTGACCTTTTGCGCATTTGTACAGTATATTTTAATATTAAAATATTTCTCCCTTTTCCTAATGATCTGTTGTCAGCTGACAAAGTTGACTGTTGTGTTGCATACCTGTAGAGAAGACGACATTCTTGGAGATGAGTTTGTAGTCGACAATAGAGAACTGTGGCAGCTCTATTCTATCCACCCCGGAAACAGCACCCTCCCCACCTCGCCAGTAAAACTCTATATCGTCTGTGGTGTATCCATCTGCAGAGGTGAAACCGAAGCCAAGAGAAACATTATCCTCATCCATTAATGCTCCATGATACATCATAATGTAGTGAAGCCGTGCTAAATGTCAATGTCAGTGATTTTGGCCCATTCAGTCCAATTAATGCTAACCAGTCTGTAGTGCCCAACTCAAATAACATCTGAGAGCTCACAAGATGATTTTCTGGGCCGGAGGGTGGTGTCCTATAAAAACCATCTTACCTGTTCCAGATTTATAATCCATCAGCAAATCAGTAAACACTTGGTTAACTCTATTTATTCATGTTTATTCATATTTTAAAACATGTATTAGTATTATTATTTAAATAAAAGCATGATAATGCAGCAGCAAGCAGGTCCCTTTCCTTCTTGGTGGTGTGTTCAAGTGCTTGCTGGATGTGTTGTAAACATCAGTTGCTTGGCTACAACTTTCAGATCTTGCATGTTGAGCTTCCAAGAAGTTTTGAAAAAGGTCTCTGTTCTCTTTCCCACTAATCTAAACAAATACTAAGTATCAGAAAAAAATGTAGCTACATGTTCACTGTAATGTACTACTGTCTCTTTGGAGAATAGTTGGTTGTAATGTAAAGAAACATGTCTGTGACTTTTAGTATGAAGCAGAATACCAGTTTCTACAATTCTGCAAACTGTCAAGAAATAAGAAAACTGGAACACATATAAAAGGCTAATTAATTATTTAATTTTTTAAAACATGGTGTAGTGTTTAAACCCCAGGGCAGAGTTTCTTTGTGAAGCATGTTTTCACTGGGATAAATCTGAGCAGCTGACGTGTGTGGATGGAAATGGTTGCAGTTAGGGGACTCCGGTGTTGCACTCTGTCACTGACATGAATAGTGTTGCATGCCAAAAGGGAACAGACATCTCCCTGCTCTGGGTTCTGCTTTGTCTGCTCCACACTCAACACAGAAGTAGTGACCTATTCAGATGTGATGAATAATTAAACTTCAAGGCTTAGATTTTTTTTTTTTTCAAACAAATGAACACACTGTTTTGTTGCTGTGGCACCAACATTCAAAGTGAAGTTAGTCATGGTGCTCATGTTAGGTTGTAATTGGCTGAACAGGCAGCTAACTTTACCCATAGGCTTTTTTTTCACAGCAAACTGTATGCAATATGCATGTAATAGTAGGACGCACTGGAGTCGTTGGAGACTGTTTTCAACTGCAAATGAACACACATTTGGTGCTGCAGTGTAGGATGGTGTATGTGGGACTGACTGAAATAAATTATAGTGCCCATGTTTATGGTAATGAGGGAACATGTGTCCCGGAGCACTGGTTTGGCTCATTGCTGTGTTGACAATTGAGGTCTGTGGTGCATAGTAGCCAAGTCAAGACACATTCACTTATATAGCACAGAATCACAAATTTGCCTCAGTGTACGACACCCTCTGCCCTTAGACCCTCAACTCTGATCACTCTTTAGTGGGAGTAATAAGCTAGACTTCGGATACACAGTCAGTAATTGTTAGTAAAATTAATTCATCGTTTATTTTCATGGGATTTGTTCAAAATATGGTGGCTCATCACTAGCCTTATTCTTGAGTTGTAGTATTCTTTGCCAGGGTGAAATAAAACACAGAAGCTGAACACCTGTACATCACAGCCCCGGTGCAGCTGTGTCTCATAATGTAGGCAGTGCTGAAACTGTACACCAGCAAGTATAAAGCTCTCGCTCCATGTCTGTATTATCATCATCATCCCAGCCTTGTGCAACCCTGTTTTAATGTGCAGTTCAGTTCAGTTCTGATAAGCTGTGAGGGCTGGGATCAGGACAGTGCTGAAGAGTTGGCATGAAACGTGTCAAGAAGGGAGCATTTTATGGTTGGTCAGTTTGTTTCACAGATAGTTCTGAACCATTGTCTCCGTACATTTTCTTGTGAATGTGTATATGCATGTATGTGTGAAATAGATCATTAGTGTTAATGTGAGACCTCTGGCCTGAGCCACCGTGTTGCACTGCTGATGTATCAGGGGATTATCAGTTTCTGTTAAAAACGCATCAAGTTTATCAAGGGGTGTTAGAGTTCTCTGGGCTCATTAGTCTGAATAGCGTAGCATGCTCTGGCATGAAGCGACTCCAGCGTTAAAACTGTTGCCAGTTAATCCATATGAGAGCAGATACTGCCTGGTGATCAAAACTGGAAGTGTGTGTGTGAGACAGTGTGTGTATTTTGTGTTGGGCTGCCTGGGAGAAGAAAACGAGTATGAGTGATGGAGAGACAGATAAAAAGACTGGGAGGAAAAAAAGACTGTGCGAAGAAAAGAAATGAGAAACGGAAAGAGGGGGTGATGAGGGGAAAGATGGCGAGTATAATGGGAGAGGAGCAGTGAGAGGCAGTTTTGACCTGCTTCTCTCCAGGGACCCAGAAAAAAAATGCAGAGGACCTCATATTTCTCTCTCATCTTCCTGCACATTCCATCCCTCAACTCAAGAACACTGGATCACTACAAACTCCATCTGCTCTTTGTACTGTATAAACAAGGAGGTAGTTTCAGGAGAAAGCTGCACAAAACATTACAATCAGCACACCCCTGAAACACTGGACATAATCAGGCTCCTCCACACCTTAGGAAGCCACTGCAGCTGGAGCTGAATTAAACAGGCTAGATGTTATGAGTCAGTGAGCCATTAGTGATGTTCCTCTTTTTGAGATCTCATTGGCTTTTCTCAGCATTTTACATGCAGCCTTATCAACCTTCCTTCCACCCTGGCACCAATGGCCCGACAGACTGATTTCAAACCAGGTTTCAGAGTTGCATGTGGGATCTGTTAATTCTACATCTACAAGTGGATGTGAAAGCCGGTTGTCAGGGACAACAGTACTTACAGCTTTCGATCTCCAGGGTGCAGTTTTGCTCATCTAGGGGGTAGCGGCGTAGGTCCATCATGCAGGCTGCAGTGGTGGTGATCCTAGGCACAGAGCGGGACAGAGAGTATAGGATTTATTAACAGCTGAAGCTGCCATGAATGGCTCCGTTGATTTGACCTTCAGTACAGAGTATGATGCACATGTCAAAGCAGGATGATGACAACTCTGTACTCAGCACCTGACATGAAATCATACCTGGAAAAGCAGCAGGTTCAACAGGAAAAAGTCATCAGCTATCAAGATCAACTGAATATCAAATGACATTTGTTAAGTCTGAAAGTCATCCTAGTAGACATTTGAAGACATTTAGGCCATGATTCAGCCTTGCAGCACCGTTTATTGCTGGGCTTATGCTCTTTTATTGCCCTTTACCATTTTATTTGCAGTTTTGTCAGTTTTAATGTTTGTCTAAATTCAGTTTGCTTTTGCTTGTATTGTGAACTGAGTTTATACTGAAGCTTTGAAAACTCATTCTGAGCAGGTTCTGAAAAGTAATCATATTAATTGGGGGGGCATGCACTAAAAATGCTTTTTTCAGTGTGCTTTTGATGTGCATTATTGTCCCACAATACAATGCAAAAAGAAAACAGACTACAGTAACTAATCAGAGCTGGAAAAAATTTAAATGAATAGGTGAGAAGAGAAATAGAGCCTGAAAACTAAATACCTTTAAAACAATTAATTTTATTATCATCTATCAAAGTATATATTGTGTCATTTCCTATTAGAACAAAACGGCAAAGTATATGTATTTCTTGTATAGCATTTGCAAGAATAGTGTACCATTAAATTTACTACATATAGCATCTGTATATACAGTAGTATGAAAGTGAGCACTTGTTTTATTTTTTATAAAATAGGTAGATAAAACAAGTAAAGGATCCAATTCCACTATAAAGTGCTGTTGGGTGGAATCAACCATGTCTGACTGGTCCACTGAGAGCGACACAGCTGAGGGTCGTGCCAAACCACTGAGCCTGAGAGAATGGACACACAATTTAACTACAAGAACTATATCTAGCATCACTTTGAAGACAAAACCCCACACACTGTTTGATAGCTGATTGCATCATGTGACCAGTCACAATAATAGCAGTCTGTGGGATAATTCCCAGTAAAAATGAAAGTTTTTGTCTTGACCTTTTCATAGCTGATTACACTTTACTAGTGTATTGCTTTAGTGATTCATTCATTCATACATGACAATGAGAACAGTCTATGAGCAACCAAACCTGGAGCAGAAATCATTCTGGGGAATTATTTAAACCCTAAAAGTTTCATTTGTTTAACAGGAAAGAGCAAGCAATCTGCTTTGTTCTGTTTTGTATGAAATTTATACACATTTATACATCATTGCTAGAAAATTGCTGAACAAGCCGATTTGTAGAATAGGTTGTTTTTTGAAAGTAAGATTAGTGTGTGTGTGTGTGTGTGTGTGTGTGTGTGTGTGTGTGTGTAGCCAATTTTTTGTCAGTTTTTGTTAATCCAGCAAAAAAAAAAAACCTTTACAGATTAAGGTACGGTGTCATATTGTTGCAAAAGTCATATATAACATTCACTATTAAATTGACTGCTGCCATGGTATGAGAGTACAACAAAATTGGTGACAGGCAAATTAATATTATCCGATGGTGGAGTATATCATCATATCACCCTCTTAACCTTTTCATTTTATGGGAAGCGCCAACTTTTGAGCTGTACACATTTCAGATGTGCAGAGTGAATATAAATAATCAAACATAAGGACACTGCAGCAGTAAAATTGAAACCACAACATCTTTCCTTTCTTAAGTTCACCAAGAGCTTTGTCTCTAATAATTAAGAGCAAAGGTTTATTTGAAATCCTTCTACATAAGACTTACAGCTCCCCTGGGTCCAGCCTGGCAAGTTTGGGATCTCATTTTTCTAGATGTAGTGAGTTTTTCCCACTCTCTCTGTCTGCCTACTTTCTCTTGCTCTCTGGGCTCTTATATAAGAGCTAGTTAGCAGGGCCATGGTGCACTGGGGGATTAAACAGGAGTCTTACTTCTGTCCTAGTTTATGGCCACAAGTTACTGGGATGTTGTGCTTGCCAGCCAGTCACTCGTCACTCACCATCATCACCATCACCTCTAAATCATCGCAGTAGCAGAGGAAGCACAGGGGAAAAATGGAAATGAGGCCAAAATGGCAGGGGTAAAAATAACTGCCTATTTATAGCCCACCTACATCATCAGCAGAAGTCTTGAAGCTTTGCTGTCTGAGGCTCTGCAGTACTGATCAAGAGCTACTTCCCCTCACCTGGCTAGTTTGTCCAATAGCAATTAATAAACAGCTAAAAATGAGTGAGCAGGGAGAGATGGTTGATTTCTCTGCAGGACTCTCTCCGCATCTTCACCTCTCCTCCTCCTCCTCCTCCTCCTCTTCGACATCTTCGCTGCAGCAAGAGTGTGCCATGGAGCTCTGCAACAGCAGCAGTGATCATGAAGCACAAGCCTGTTTGCTCTTCATCAACATCAGGGCCAGTCGCTCTTTCTCATCCCAACCTGCCGGGGGAGAGGCCACACTCTACCAGATCATGCAGATTCAAGGACGCTGCATTTGCTCTGCGTCAAAGCTAATAGGACATGGAGTTCAAATAAAGGCTGGATTTATTTCTGTGTTCAGCCCAGATCCTGTTGTGTGTGTGTGTGTGTGTGTGTGTGTGTGTGTGTGTGTGTGTGTGTGGACCCCCCCAAAGCACCCTGTGCACCTTTATTACAAACGACCTTGTTTTCGGACAGAACACAACCACCACCAATTCCCAGACAGAATCTCATATCAAGCGAGCACTGCAGCAGAGGCCGAATGCAGAAAGAGAGATTTTGCAGGCGGGTTGAGAACCTGTCCCACCTTTAATTAAAAAGACACTTCCTTACCCAGGCATTACAATAGCCTTTACAGTTAAATTAAGATGCAGGTGCTCCCTCCATTTTGGCTTCAGAGCTGTTGAGCTGAGGAGACATGGCACAGAGGATTGTCTCTCTCTGCTCAGGCACTGTTGCCAAATGTGGAAAAAAAAAAAGAAAAGAAAGAACAAAAATGTCTTCAGTGGCTCAACAGAGAGGCTCCTGTGTGCCAAAGAATGCCAAATCAAAGAGAGCTTACTTAATTTCAAAGTACAGGCATATCCAAACACATACAACATACAAGTCATCCTTACTGCTCAGTAGTTTTAGAAAGAGAGCTAGGTAAGTCTGGGGCACAGCGGCGCAGTGGTTAACGCTGTTGCCTTACAACAAGAGCCCTAAGCTCGAATCCCAGCCGACCCTTTCCATGCCTGAACTTTGTATGTTATCCCTGTGTCCCAGGAGTGAGTGAGTGTGGTTGTCTGTCTCTAAGTGTCAGCCCTGTGATAGACTAGCGACCTGTCCAGAGTGTACCCCGCCTCTCGCCCAGTGTCAGCTAGGGTAGGCTCCAGCCCCCCACAACCCTCTTCAGGAATAAACGGTATAGAGAATGGATGGATGAGAAACTCTGAGGGAAATGCTAAGCTCATTTTGACGGTATTGACAGGGAGAATGGTTTATTTAAACCCCTCTCCGCCTCCACACAGCAGTTTTTTTCCTCCTGGCCATGCAATGCCATCTATTGAGCTGCAGAGCAGAACACTCCTCGCCCTGACAAAAGCAGACGTCAGTCTCCATAGCACAAGGATATGTCCTCTCACAAAAGGAGATGCACTATTCAGAGAGAGAGAGAGGAGGGAGGGAAGAAGAGAGTGAGGGGAGGGAGGAGGGAGAATCCTAATAATTTCTCCATTTTGAATGAAGTCTGACCTTCATGTCTTTTTCTATCCTTCCGCTCTCATTCGTTTCACAATCCTTCTCTGTAAATTCTGAGTGACGTGCACCAGGAGTCATGCACTGAATGTCTTTGGTTTTTCCTCTCTTCCTGCACAAAATGAGAAGCAGAGTGGAGTTTGTGTTACTTGTTACTGTGTGTGTGGTATTATGGTTGTGGATGTGTTATTGGCTGAGCCTTTTCAGGGGCGGGGTAATTAGATCAGACTGCCTGCCCCTGGGAGTCAAACCGAGGTCTAACGTGACAGTTGGGAGCACTGTTGTAATTTTCTGCTCCTCCTGGTAAATGAAGACCAGGATTTGGCAAGATTGGGATAAATATCCAAGGAAAAAGGAATAAACAACACCCTCACCCATCCTCCTCCGTATGCACTCCAAAAATAACACCCACCCACTCACACACCCACCCATATACACACAAACACTCAATGCCTCCTGCAAACTAAACAACACTCTAATCTGTTGGTGTTCCCCAGGTACAGAGTTAACAAACTTCAGTTAGGTCAGCACAAATTCATATTCACCTCTGAGGCCGATGATATGTTTACTTTGACCACTTTCTACACAAGGATTAAGCGATACAACATCTTATAGCATGGCATATGACATCAAGCAACGAACCAATGTTGGAGAGTTGATTTCAAACTTCCCCATCTTCAACAATATAGTACCAGTTGTTTGTATAGTGTTAACAGTACAGGCGGTACACAGGGTGTATACAATGTACAGAGTTAGAAGAAGAACATGGCAGCCACTGCAGTTAGTATTTAGTATGCAGAGCACAGAGGACATGACACAGCAGATTCCTCACAAGGGGGAAACAGACTCTGAAATGTTATGGGTGGAGAGCCCCTATAAAGTTTGTTGTTGTTGTTTTATTTTATTTTATTTTGTCATGGCCTTGCTTGAATAAGCAAACTATCCATCCATCCATTTTCCTCTGCTTATCCGGGACCGGGTCGCGGGGGCAGCATTCTAAGCAAAGATGCCCAGACTTCCCTCTCTCCAGACACTTCCTCCAGCTCCTCCGGGGGGATGCCGAGGTGTAGCGAGTCCTGCAAACTAATTGCAGAATATTTAACTCTAAACAGAAGAATCTGGATGGTAATAATTGTAACAGTTGCAGCAAGTAACTAAATGCATAAATTAATTTTTGAGGTATTTGTACTTTAGTTGAGCTCTTCAGTTTTTATGCTGATCTGTACTACTGCATTACTACATTTCAGAACACTAACTTCACTATACTGCTGTAAATACAATAATTAATACATTTTTTAACCAGTTTGATATGTAAAACCATTCATCAATTAATAAAATATGATGCTGCTATAGATTAGTAGTAAAATAGAGATGAAGTTATTGTAAGGTTAGCAGACTGTTTACACTTAGTGTATCAGTAATAATGATTAAATAATATAACAGTGACAGAGGTCATTCTGCAGCATAATGAGTATTTTTATTATTAATTCTTTAAGCACATTATGCTGGTATTACTTATGTACTTTTACTTATTTTGATGGCAGGAAGTTTACTTCTAACTGAGTATTTTTATCACTGCTTATTCTTAACTTACAGAATCTAAAAAGTTCTTCCACCATTGCTCGTGACCTTTACACTGAAGGTTATGACTAAATGAGCTTATAGCCCAAAAGATTAACGATGCGCTCAGACAGGACTCGTGTTCACATGCATCCTGTGTTCCTGTTGAGGACTCCTCTCAGTTAACCTTCTCCTCTACATCCACTGGCCCTGCTGTTGCAGCCGGCCCGTCTCTCCAGGTATGTGTCAGCACGCTCAGAGCGCACAGGCATCTGGCCGAGCTGACTCTGACAGCAGTTTGTGTCTGGACTAGCTAGCATCAAATAAAACCTGGACCAAACCAACAAACCAAATAGCGGAGGAGCCGGGAGGCACCGGCGCTGACAAGGGCAACGTATCTGCGGTAACAGGCGCATCTCTCAGCTTTTACAACAGCCCTCTCTCCTTGTCTCCATTGCTTTCTGGCTGTTATGCCAAAATATGTGTTAGGCTTACATAATTGAGTCAGAGCGTTATAAATTACATTTCTCAAGTGTTGAAACAAGCTGTAGTGATGAATAATCTGGTGCAGTGCAGATACTTAAATTTTTTAGGCCTGTCTTTGCATAAGAAGGGCATCTCAGTCTAGACAGTGAGTAACTGAACGCTGCGGCATCTGGAACTAGCAACAATAATCTCATCTTTTAAACACAGACGCTAATCTGAGATCATGTGCACACACACACACACAGGAGGTGACAGATCAGAGGAGACAGCAGTGCAGTGATAGACGCAGCATCGGTACAAATACAGATTCGGTGTTTGTATTGAACTGCTACATTATTGATTATGAGTTATACATTATGGATGACAGTCTCCTCAGAGGCATCCCAGTCCAATGCCACAAAGAAATGTCTCGCTGAAACATTCCACACAATCAGTCTCAGTTCGGCTTTTCGTACCACCCTGCTTCATTATTGATCAAATCCAATCAATTATTGATTTTGATGATCATCAGGAAAGGTGAAAAGCTAAAATATAAAGGAATATGCCTCCGATACATAAAGTCAGTCTACTTTATCACAACTTGGGTATTATTTATTAAGTGTTGTCCATCATTTCTATTGGTCATAATGACATTATATTCCCCATTATATTCTTCTTCTGGGGAAGTGATCATACCGTGAGACAGGTTGTGAGAAAGTCACCAGTTTAGCCAGACTATTTGATTTCTTCTCAAATTGCTTCATTTTAATAAAGTTATTGTCTGAGAGCAAAAATTTTAAAAAATGTGTTATTTTGTACTTTGAAATGGAGCTTCAGATGTTTCTGTTTGCCCCACATTTATTAAGTTACATTTGGTATTATTCATTTATATCTCACACAGCACTGTGACACAGCAACTGAATTTTTAATCTGCTGTTTGTTTCTTTTTCTATTTTAGATCATTTTTATCCTTTTTTTAAATGTCTACTAATTAAATATAGCCTTTTTGTACTGCCTTCTGTTTCTATTATATCTTGTCTTAAGGTCTTTGTTACCACACTCTAATCTGCCTAGTTATAGAAATAAACCTGTCTTGCTGTGTCACCTCAGAGATGTCTTGCAAAGCTTTTGGGGTGAAGTGAGGTTGGAAAGCCCTGATCAACACCAATTTATTTTTAGTCAAGCGCATCCAAAATGTTTATAATCACCCATAACTGCTCAGGAAAACAAAGTGGCTAGATGACTATATAATATTGTAAGTGCAGTTGGTCAAACTTTAATTTAGTCAGCTCCTTAACTGTGGGTAATATCCATGATGATGGCAAAAAAGTTTGGGTTTGCTGTATATTCTTATCTAATCACTAATGTTTCTTTCCCAGATCTCAGCTATTAATATGAATACAATTTTACTATCACACAGAATAACAATGGCCAGAAAGAGAAAAAGAAACCAAAGCTGTAATAAAACAAATTTAGCCTTTAAATACACAAAGCCCAAAATGAAGATCCACAATAGAACTGTAGTTCATTAAAAAAGCCATAGCCAGATTTGATGCACCTCACAGAATCACATCACTCCCTTATGTATAGGGATAAATATGACACAATAGGAAAGGCAGGTGTGAAAGGCTTACCTGAGTCCATAAAGCACGGTGCCATCAGGGTGGAGACGTATCATCCTGTTCTTGACTGTGACGCCGTGAACAAAGGACTTTTTGTCATTAAGGAAGTAAGTGTCTGGGACCCACAGCTGGTCGGCCACTCGGTTATCCAGAGTCAGGTTATAGGCGATCTCGGAGTAGGACAGACGCTTGTCCCGCCATGCTTGTTGAAAATACATTGTCAAGGTGTAGTCCTGGAAGACAGAGGGGTCTGTTTAGTGAAGCTAGTGCAGGACTTCAAAGAAATTCATAATCCAAAGGGCTTTAAAACCAAAAAACAAGCACTTTCTAGCAAAACGACATCTTTCAGGTGCTAGCTGAGCTGTAGGAATAGTTGTATTTCTACTATTATCTCAAGTGGGAAACAAGCACTTGAACTACTGGAGTGGTTAATCCCACACTACAAATTTGAACATGGCTCCATGTTCAACATGTTGTATGGGTTCTACATAATAAAAGGTCAGCCTAAAGGTCACTCGTTGTCTGAAAGGTCATGGCCTGTACTAGTGCCACAGTGGGTGGGGTTTGGAGTTTAATATTCACCTACCCTTAGTTAGATTTGACACATAACTCGAGGCGAGTTTTTTTCAGCTGGCTGACTGTTGTCTCAGGCTAAACATCCTAAACATCTGCGTTAACAAATGAAGCCATTTTTTGAGAGACAACTGTGCCTCTAATGCAAAGAACCAGTAGATTTTAGCACTTGGTGCTTCCTCTATGTCTCTTTTTGTGCCTGATTGTGCTTCTAAATCTTTGCAATAAACAAGCAGAACTACTAAAATTTAGGTGAGAGTTTCCAAGATTTACAGCATTCCTACTGTACAGGTTGTTTTTACACATGCTCAGAGATGTAGCAGTAAACTGTACCACCTCCTCACTCTGTCTCATTTCTCTGCTTCTCACTCTTAAAAAACACAAGGCTTACACCCACACAGCCACAGTTAAACACAGCACTGCAGTTGGACCTGCTCGGTTATAGTATTCCAGCGCTTTCGATGAGTAGGAAAACAAAATTAAAAGATACAGTCCATGAAACGAGGCCCTCGAGCTTATGCCCCAAGCAGCCATCATCATGTGTTTCTATGATTCCAAGCCTTTGACTTCTTCTTATTGTCACACATTGGTGTGACACTGCAAACAGCACTTTCATAACTCTTAGCATACATTGCATGCAGCGTGAGTAACCAAAACACTGCGTTAAAAAGGGCATCTAAAAATACATGGGCTGCTGCTGCATGTTGATTTTTTTCAGGAGTGAAAAGTCAAGCGAGGGAGCTCACATCCTTACCCTGTTTTACACAAGTTCCCACTGAACCTTCCTTTCAAGCTCGCTCCCTCTCTGTCTCATTATCAGCCCGTTGATCGCACATCTCTGTCACCTTTGGGATTGTTAGCTGCTAGCTGAAGGCTCTGTGTACATCCACTCCTGCAATATGTCCCTGTCTTTAGAGGCATCCTTCATCATACTTATGAAGAGACACAAGGAGCTAGAGCAGAAGCTGACGACATGAGAGAATATTTATCAATGTTGTGTCATGAATTTTATGCAACCGTCTTTCTGTGTTTGTCTTTTTACTTCTACTACTCTTTTATATCACTGGGGTGAAACATCCTATGACATGTTGATGGGTTCAGGGAAACATGAATGTGTCTGGTGTGTCACACACATTTTGGATGTTTGACGTTTGCATTTGTGGCTTTTAGTTTGTACTGTATATAATATTAACAGGCCAGAATATATTTGCTATGACTAATCATCATTATCAACTAATATGCTGATTACTTTTTGATTAACTGAAAAATATTTGACTTTTCAGATACCAAAAACCTGGGAAATGCCCACCGCAATTACCAAGAGTCAAAACTGCATGTTGTGAACACTAGCTATTAACCCAAAGATATTTCATAATAGTTAAAAGATGTGCAACAGAGAAAAGAAGCAAATCCTCACACTCGAGAAGATCACACCAGAAAATGTTTCTTCTTGATAAATCACAACAACTAGGTGTAAGGAAAGACTGTGACTTAAAATAAGCACTACTTCATTAAAGAGACGGGAACATTGTCCTCATACAATAATAAACATGTGTTTAAGGTTATGAACAAAAGAAACAACAATGACTATTGCTTTGAAATGGGAAGTAAACAGTAGTCTGCTGTGCTGAAGTCCAGTGTTTCCACCTCAACCTCATCCCTTCATAAACTTTCTTGCTCTGTATACATCAAGTGACCTCCTGGTTTGATCCCCTCATAATTACTATCACTAGTGGGCACCCAACAGTAAAACATAACTGGGTCATAGTAATCAGCTTGCACAAATGACAGATGGGCTCTTTTTTTGCAAGACAGTCTGAAAAGCACAAGTGTTACTGATGGCACTGACAATGACTGTGCTCTATTCAAGTCATGACAGCGTGACAGTGAGTCAACATGCACAATAACAGAAACTGAAGCCATTAACTTTATAGCTTACACCTGCACTTTTCCTACTGCAATGTGTCAAAGTGTCTTCTGTCTAAAATAAACACAAAACCTTTTGAAATCTCCTGTTAAATTATCTGGATGCAAGGTGCCTGCTCTTGTGCGTGTGCAGTGCGCATGTTTAGGGTTTTATGAATATACAGTAGAGAGCTGCACAGAGAACACCTGGGCCTGCATGCTGCCTCCCGGCTGTGCTACGTAAAGTGACAGCGTGATTATGGCCTCGCAGATGGTGCTGTTTACCTTCACTCGGACATCATTTGAGCTCAGGGAGGGACTCAAAATACAGCAGTCTCCTCTCTTCTCTCAGTACAGCTGAAGCTATTTTTCAAAGACAAACAAATCTACATTAACTCCTGTACTGTGAGGGGACGTGATGGGGAAAAGAGCTGTACTATTCAGAAACACAACATAAAAAAGTCATGTTGATTTCACATATACAAAGCAAATCCTAAACATCTTTTTTAAAAATATACTTTAATAATCACCATGGGGAAATTTCTTACTGATGGTGGCGCTGTCAGTTGCTGCCTGCCCACCAGGGGCAGCTAGGGGTTCAGTGTCTTGCCCAAGGACACTTCGACACGTGGACTGTGTAGACTGGGATTCAAACCACCAACCTTCCAACTGGGAGACAACCACTCTACCTCCTGAGCCACAGCTGTCCCTATTATCTCAAAGAAATTCTCAAAAAAAAAAATCTGCAAAAATGACATTCATCCTGCAAAATTAAGTAAAATTCTGCAATACATACTGTTTGTGTATACAGTGCAGCTCTTATACTAAATATGAGTGAAAACAACCAATCATGGTGTCTTTTAATGCTAAATGTAAGTATTACAATATCTACTAAAGACAGAATTCAAATAATTCCTAAGTAATAAACAAAATGTTTAATGTATTAACTGAGCAGAATATCTTCCTGAACCCGCAAAATATGGAGAAGAAGAAGAAAAAACAAGCTGCAGATAACCGAGAGACAGAACGTCCCATGCTGGAGTGTTGGTCTCAAAAGCAACCTTCACTCTCCTTGTCACAAGCACGACACAGAAACTCCATTAAAATCACACAGCGAGCATCAGTGAGGGAGACATCTTGTGGAAAGCACCAACATTGGTGGCGGAACCTTTGACGGACTGCTGTTTCCTGCGGTAAACCGTACTCATTTCCTGTTTTCTGTATTTGCACTGCGTTGTGCTTGCTTCCAGATTGTTTAGGAATTAAACTCACTATTTTCTAGGTTCATCTGAATTTTTGAGTGACAACATACGCTTGCACCACTTAAAGCACTTGTTTTGCAGAAGTTCTTGCTAACTACCAAATTTAACTTGCTACTTTAGGTCGGCTAGTTTAGAAGCTAGCTAAGCTAGTAGCTTAATCGAGAGCAATGGCTTCCCCCTCTTCCTTTCTCTTGCTCGGAGTGTCGCATGTTCAGTTATTCCTCTGCCTCCTTTAGCGATAATGGTACTTGTAATAAATGTCAGATGCTAGCAGCATTGGAGGCGAGGCTCACAGACTTAGAAGCGCGGCTACACACAATGGATAATAGGCCAGCTAGCTATGCCCACGTAGCCGGTGTGAAGCCTCAATAGACGTAGCTTAGCCCAAGATAGCCGCCCCCCACAGCTTCCCGAGCAGCCGGGATCTCAGACAGGTGGCTGG